TATTTTGGGTTTAAAACCTCTGTGTATTAGCATGAGGTTTAAATTATAACTTAAGGAAATTTAATGATATTTTAGTGATATTGGAATAATAAGCAGTTAGGGTTGCAATTTATGGTATTGCTACTTAGAGAATGAGTAACCCAAGAAAATGCCCGCGAATGGAAAAAGAGAATCAGGAGGAGCTTGAGAAGGAACTCAGCATCCCAACTCCGCGGATAGATATTCACAGTTAAGGTAAGGCGCGATCCGTACCTAACTCTTCCTTTCTAGTCATTCTATTATTGCTTTCATAGGGTGTTTTAGTAGTTATGGGATCAGGGTAGTAGAGTAGTGGTCGAGGTAACTTGAACTGGATAAAGGATCTAGACGAGAGTCTCGACAAGTGTACGGAAGTGGCCGAGTTCCACTCGACTACCTCGGCCACTATCGAGCACAAGAAGAGAATTTCATGAACGGCGAGGGGCTGTGGTACGGGCAAGAGGCCGCGTATCGGTAGACACCCGGTGTGGCATCAGTAGCACTCGCCTTGGAAAGAGAGCATCGGTATGGCCTTGGGGTGTCTCGATGAGCGTCTCAATCCAGACAGTAGTGCCACGTCTAGATAGGCATTGGCATGGCTTCGGGGTGCCTCGATGATGTAATGACCGCGAACCAAATTTTGTGAATTTTGGTCGTGCGTCGATCGACGCAAGGTAGAATTAAACGACATGTTCGATTTTTGATCAGATCGACTACGGTTTGGTTTGAGAAACCCTAGGGTTTCTGTATATAAACTGAACAGTCGATGGGAGGTCAGGCTTTTGAGAGATTTTCTGAGAGAAAGGCTGAGTTTAGAGAGATTGTGAGGATCGAGAAGGAACATGAATCATTGTTGATCTCCTTGTGTTCCTGATCCTGATAGATTGTGTTTGTGAGGCTTTGGAATCGTTTTTGGAGTCTGTTCTTCGCAAAGGGGGAAGGGAATTTCGGATTTAGGAATTCGGTCTTCGTGTTTGTCGCGTTCTTCGCGGTTTTTCCATTCTTTTTTCTTTCAAACCAAGGTGAGTACGTGACCATGGCTTATATGGGTTTAGGATTTGGTAGAATGCGATTGATTGCTGTTGTTTGGTTGGATTTCGTGTTGTATTGGTGAATTTTCGGGCAGAAGATCGATGCGATGCATTC